ACCGAGATCTACAAATTCCCCTAGTTAAAGCTGTATTTGACAATATAAGAAAAAAATACAATAAAAGGCTGACAGAGCATGTTAATCCCTTAGCAAGAAATCTCGCACTTCTATCCATTACTTCCCGTCTAAAAAGAGCTGACCGTCCATCCGTTAATTAATATTCAACAGCTTGAAGTAAAAACCGCACCTTTCTTTTTAGTAATCTGTTAAAGTTGAACCACTTTCTTAAGAAACCACCTAACATTCACTCTAATGAAATAATTTAACCCATTAATCTAAGTGAGGTTCGTGATATAAGGTTTACTTATTTTATTTTATTTTATACAATGTATAATTAAAATAAAAATTTGTAACATTATGTAATTAGTTATAAGATTTTACAACTTATTGTTAGTCTCATTTTAAGAGAAGATGCAATAAATAAATGTATGTTTTAAAAAAAAAAAAAAAAAAAAAATATATTTTCAGTAGTCGATACAGACTTTCCAATTGAAGTAAATGGAATAATATGTAGAGTTTTTTTGACCCACTTTAAATGTAATATAGATTATTACACATTTTCTTTAACAGTAACTTCGGACTTACAGTCCAACAATTCCAATAAATATTAAACCATTTACAGTTAAAGCAAGAACTCAAAACATAGACATTCGTTTTAATATAGATACTGTCCTGATCAGTAACGAAATTTACAAAGGAGTGTACATGGCCAATACCATAGTACCGGCAAATGGAATTTGCCACATAAACGTGATAAATACAAACGAATCAGATAACAACATAACTGATTTAAAAATAGAGTCACAACCTTTGTACAACTATTACTGTATAAATAACAAATCAAAAATTTATACTGAACAAAGATTATCTAAAATTCTTGACAAAATACATCTGAAAGGGGATGCACTAACACTAGTTCCATTAATTTCAAAATACCAACACATTTTTCAGCTCGAATCAGAACCATTATCTACAAACAATTTTTATACAGAACACATCTCTACAACCGACAATAATCCGATATACATTAAAAATTACCGATTACCACATTGTCATAATGACGACATAAAAACACAAGTTCAAAGACTACTACAAGACGATGTAATACAACCGTCAAAAAGCCCCTACAATTCACCAATATTGCTTGTTCCTAAGAAATCAACAAACGATAACAAGAAATGGAGACTCGTCATTGATTACAGAAAACTCAATGAAAAGATAGTCAACGACAAATTTCCTTTAACACGTTTGGAGGATGTTCTCGATAAGCTTGGAAGAGCTAGGTATTTTTCCACTTTAGATATGACCAGCTCATTTCATCAAATACCAATTGACGCCTCTTCAAGACCAAAAACCGCCTTTTCAACGAATGATGGTCATTACGAATTTAAAAGATTACCTTTTGAACTAAAGATTAGTTCTAACAGCTTCGAGCGAATGTTAACGTTAGCATTAACAGGTTTGGAAACGGAAGCATTTCTATATGTAGATGATATAATAGTTTTTGGAAATAGTCTCAAACACCATAATATAAATCTAGAGAAAGTTTTCGATAGACTAAATGAATACAATCTTAAATTAAATCCAGACAAGTGTAACTTTTAAAGCATGAAGTTACTTACTTAGGACATTTGATAACAGAGCATGGAATAAAAACTGATCCCGCCAAACATCAAGTCATAATGAACTACCCAAAACCCACAACTACTGATGAAGTAAGAAGATATGTAGCCTTCTGTAATTATTACCGTAGATTCATAAGCAATTCTGCAGACATTGCAAAACCGTTAAATCGCTTACTAAAGAAAAACCAGAAGTTCGAATGGAATTCAAATTGTGATAAAGCATTTGAAAACTTAAAATCAAAACTAATAAACCCACCAGTACTTAAGTACCCCGATTTCAATAAACCATTTATAATTACCACTGATGCATCTGACTATGCATTAGGTGCAGTACTCTCACAAGGTGAGATTGGATCTGACCTTCCAATTTGTTATGCAAGCAAAGCTCTCCAAAAACACGACTTAAATAAGCCAATTATAGAGAAGGAATTGTTAGCGATACATTGGGCAATCAATTATTTTCGCCCATATGTTTATGGCAAACGTTTTCTTGTTATAACAGACCATAGACCCTTATTTTCCCTATTCGTACATAAGAACCCCTCATCCAAAATGACAAGGATAAGAATAGACTCTTCAGAATATGATTTTGAAATTATATACCGCTCAACAACGACGAAAATGTATCAAAGAAATTAAGCCCGGCTAATGAAGAAGAATTAATGAGACAATTAGAAACAAGAGACGATACTCGAGTATATGTTACAACGAGGAGTAACACAAAACGCGCGATGAAAAAGAATGATAATCCTATCGGAAAAACACGTTCCAATGAGCCTGATCAACTCTATTGCTGGGACTGTACATCCATTAGTGATATCAGACATACAATGAAACTGCAGTTTAATATAAATAAAAATAATAAAGAAAAATTACACATTGCGAAAAATGTAGTAAAAGTGGAAATGAGCGAGGTACCTACGAAGCCGATTTCGATCATGGAGAAACTCATATCCAAAATAGAAAATTTTAAAATCTATGAATTAGTGCTAGCACAAGAAGATACAATATTTGATGCCATGGCAAAAGAAGAATTTAAGAATATTATAAATACGTTGCAACGAAGAAATAAGAAAGAAAAAAGTCTCAAAATATTAATTTATAAAAGTCCAGAACAAATCACGGATACAATAAAAAGATACAGACTCATTGAAGAATATCATAATACTCCTTACAGCGGACACTTAGGTGTAAGGAAAACCTTCACAAAATTAAAACAACGGTATACGTGGAGCAAAATGAAACAAATGGTTCATAAATATATCAGTACATGTCATAAATGTCAAATCAACAAACAAACGAAACATACAAAAGAACAATTAGAAATCACAACAACACCTACAAACGTTTTCGAAACAGTAGAAATTGACACTGTAGGCCCTCTTCGTCCTTCAAATGATTTAGATATATTCTCACAATGCAATGTGAATTAAGTAGATTCATCATTGCATATCCAATAGTAAATAAAGAAGCACATACCTAGCTAAAACATTAATTGAACAACTAATATTAAAATTCGGTTTATTCAAAATACTCAAATCAGACAGAGGAACTGAGTTTGTAAATGAATTATTTACAAAAATCACAGAATTACTAGATATAAAACAAGTATTCTCAACTCCTTACCACCATGAAACAATTGGTACAATAGAAAGGAATCATAGAGTCCTCAATGAATATCTTTTAAATTTTACTGAAGAAGAATGGGACAGATGGATACCATACTATGCTTTTGCATATAATACCTCAGCCCACATAGACACTGGCTATACGCCACATGAACTTGTCTTTGGCAAACTACCCTCACTTCCTGATGAAAAACTCGAGGATGATATAGGTAAATTCAATTTAGAAAATTACGCGAACAAATTGAAAGCTCGTCTCAAAGTATCGATTGAGAAAGCTAGAAAGTTCACATGTGAAGCCAAAGGTAAAAGACAAAAACAAACTAGTTATAATAATAATCCAATTAGGTTAGAGATAGGAGATAAAATATTGGTAAAGTACCAGAATAAAAGAAAACACACCAGTCCATACATAGGCCCTTTTGAAGTAATAGATATTAATGGCACTAATGTAACGATAAATGACGGTAAAGAAAATAAAGTAATACATAAAAATAATACAAAACTAATCAAAACATAATTATTATTAATAAATGTCATCAAATACAATTATTATTATCTATATATAATATTAAGTTTATACAATTTATAATCTTTAGTATATTAATCATTAGTAAACAAAAATAGTGTAAGAAAACTTCATATAAAAACAAGCATAATAAATGTAATGTAATATGCAACTACTTCAATTATCATTAATAACTTTTAATTATAAATAAAAACTTATTACATATTAGTTTTGCAAGTTCAAGTTCTATTAAAGAAATAATGATATAATAAATATACGTCAAAAAAAAAAAATTTTTTGTTTAAACAAAAAAAAAAAAATTTTTTTTTTTTCTTTTAAAGAATAAGGGTGTAATGTGATATGAGTACAAGACCACACATATCACAAAACACTCAAGTGTTCCGAATAATTTAAAGTAACCATTGACACAGTTCTATTTTGATAAAATTTATGACAAACTATTGTCATAAATCCTAACGATAAGAGGCGCCTGAATGTAGCCACTAAAAAACTCAAAGTAAATCTAGAGGCAAGAAAAAATGCAAGCATTGCAACTTACTTAGCAAGCTTGTCTCCCTCTGAGGCCACTGAGTACTCCTTGTGGAAAGCCACACGCATACTTAATGCACCAACATCGCATATACCACCAATAAAGATGAGTAATGGG